CTTCCGGGCTGTCTCACTCAGACGCATGTTGTGAGTACCTCAGACACCTTCAGCGCCTGCCAAGATTACCTGTCCGCCCTTACTCCCCTTACTCGGGTGCCTGTCTCACAGGCAGCCTTCTGAGACAGTGCGGCTTGCCACCCAACCCTGCTTCTGAGAAACCACTGACAAGCTGGCCAGACCTCCTAGACAGGGCCTCTCCACAGCGACACTGGCCAAGGGCAAGCTCTAGGTGACACTGTGGCTTTCACAATCTCCTATGAGTCTGGGTGGTCTGATTCAGTCTTCCCCCTCTAGCCTGAATTCTGGCTGCATCATCAAAATCAAGTTTCTAAACTTGAATTTCACAGTTTTTTTTTTCCCTTTTTAACTATAACCCTTTTTTACTCCATAACTACAAACTCAGACTCTAAACCATATGACCTTCCCAAGGCATAAAAAGTCTTTATTTTCCAAGGATAACTGCTATCCCTTCTCCCACAGGCCACTTACATGAATCCACTTAAAATAAGGACCAAAATCTCATATTAAATACTGATCAAAAAAAAGTCCAAGACTTTACCTTGAGATACAAATCTTACAATTATGAAAAACTTACTTTGTTTTGCTTTAAAATATTTATTTAAAAATTAAGTCACAACCATGTGTTATTTCTGAGAAAAAGCGCAGAAAGACAGACAGCATCCACTGTACATCACTTTGACTTGTACCACATGAGCATTAAGAAGGCCATTTTTTGCAAAAAACATTTGAGGCCTCTCACTTTCCCAAAAGACACCCCCCCCACACACACACACACAGACAAAAACCCTCTTTTTCCAAAGGGCCTGTCGTGTCCTCCTGGGCAGCCCTTCTCCAGTGTCAGCCCGTGGCCAGGCACGTGGCTCACGCAGCGCTCCAGCAGGGCTCTCCTCAGCTCCACCAGAGCCAGCATGTCGCGCTCGAGTCTCAATTTCACTTTGTGGGGACTGGCCGGGGCACAGTGGGCAGTAACAAGCAATGCAATTATTAGACAGCAGGGGTGTCTGAGTGACAGCTAGTTTCACAAATGCAGCGGGGGCCCAGTGTGATCCTTCACTCTCCCTCTACAACCTTATACCCTTGGGGTCTCAGAGAATGAAACCAAGAAAACAAGGCCCATGGGTGCCACTGTCACCTTTTGAGGCAGATCTCATAAAAATCTCTCCTGTGCATCCCTTGCTGTTTACAGGAAGCCATGGGAAGGAGAGAAAGGCACCTAGAGTGATGGCTCCCATGCTCTTCGGGGGCCCTGCTGGGCCTTCACCTGTGCCCTCCTGCTTGCGCCTCACGAGGACACTCTGAGAGAGGTCACATCACTCTACTTGTGCGAAGTCAGGCTGGAGGGAGAAGAGGGACCCTGGCTGCTCCTCTCAGCTCTGACTCCCTTGCAAAAAAAGAGCAAAGAGAACATCCATGAGTTGGAAATGACTCATGCCAGGGATCCTGTGGGTCAGGCTATGAATGCTGACACTGGTCAGTTTCTCAGACTTCAAATTAAGAACAGAATTTTCTTTGAGGGAATAGAAGACATTAAAAGATTTAATTAAATATCATCAACAGTCCTGCAGAGGGGAAGCTGCATGTGACTTCTGCACGATGCAGGCACACCTGAGACAGCACAGCCTTCCAAAGGCCAAATTTTCAACTGAGGCTGGTCTGGGCACGGGACAGCACGTGCCTGCCAGGCTCTCCCTGGGGCTCAAGCACCTGAGGGCTACACTCCCACCCTCTTAGGCAGGACTTTTCTTTTAACCTGAGGCCATTTCCAAAACTATTGGGACTGACCATGGCAAAGTAATAACAGCCCAAAGCACTGCTAGGCCAGGAGGTGAAAGCAGCCAGGGGCTGGGATGCATGTCTCTAAGTCAGAAGTCCAGGTAGATAGCACCTCTCACATTATGCAGTTTCCAAAACAAAGGTTTGAGAGTTCAACCAAAAAACGTAATGAGAACCAGAGCCAATGGCAGCTCCAAAACAAACATTTCACCTTCTCTCTTGTGTAGGTTCTTGCACTAACTCCCGTCTTCTTTCACCTGTTTTTTCCACATCCTACTTAATGCTGAAGGCAAACTGGCAGTCTCACAAGGCCAGGCCACAGGGCAAAATTTTCAAAGACAGGAAACTACTCCCCAGAAAAGGACAAATAGCACAGGTTGCCACACAGGCCACCAGGCAGAGACCCAGCTGGGCTCAGTCGATGCTACACACCAGGCAACTGCTCGCTTGAGGATTGCAGATGCTTGTCTTTTTAGAAACCCATGTCCTGGGACTATGTAAGAACTCTGAGCAGCTTCTCATCAACAAGGTCCTTTACTCTTGACCAGGCATGCCCTTAGCTCAGTTATTTCCCTTTCTAAGCCACAACTGAAAAACTCTTGTGGTCTCTCCCAACACTCTGGGTAAGCTGGTGTCCAGAAGCAAGTTCTTGACATAGACATTTGTTGACACCAAAAGATTAGCTCCATGTGGAAATGCTCACCAGGCAGCCTTCCCTCCTCTAAGCATGGGTATTGAGGCTCAGGTTTACTACTTCCTTCCCTGCCCCTTCTGAAACAGCAGTCAGAGTGGCTGGACCAAGCAGAGATCGCCCCGCCCTTCCTTGAATTTAAGAAAGGCACACAGCAGACAATCCTATCAGGCTCCTCCTCTAGGCAGAGATGGTAGGAAGTGGATGTGCTGAGAGCAATATAGGAGTCGTGGTACATGCCACCCAGAGACAGGCAAGGAGGGTTCAAAGAGCATTACTGCAGCATCTCCCATGTAGGTGGGGATCAATCCAGAGCTCCTGGCTGGTTTCCGAGCTCACTCTCCAGCCCTATTCCATATGGCCTTTGAGCTGAGTTCTAAGAGGTGGGCACCAGGGCAGGGGCAGAGCAGCAGAGCCCTGGAGGCATCACTGAGTTTGGGGCTTTAGTCTTTAAGCCAGGGGGGTGGGGGCCAGGGGAGGTATCATCAGAGGGCTGGAGAACCTGACCAAGCCTGCTGGCAGAGGCGATCACCCCACTGGCTGCTCTGGGGAAAGACCCAAGTGGGACCCAAGTGCATGACAGACACCCACTGTGGGTTGCTGAGCAATCTCCACCAGAGGGACAACACTCGCTTGAAGAGGGGGTACTGAGAGATGAACGGGGGCCGAAGGACAGCATCTGAGGGACAACTGGACGTGGGGCACAAAAGAGGAGATCTGCACAACTGGACAGACGCGCTCTTGTGCACTGGGGAGGGGAGCACCAAGGAGGGTCAGGTTTCAGGGTCAAGATCATAAGAATGTGCATCTCCCACCCAAGGCCTGCTCCACACCCCCGATCCTAGCACAGCACTTGGCCCCTGCGGGCTCATTTACTAACAAAAGCAACAACACCCCTATGTACTGAGGCTGACTAGGACTATGATAAGGTAACAGCCCAAGTGATGTGCACAGGGCATGATGCACCACTGCTCAACAAGAGCAGAGGTGCGACTCCAGGTTGTCAGGGGCCAAAACTGGTACTACAGAGAAGACCACGTGTCTTCCTATTTTTTCTCGTGCTAAGAGACACAGAGTCCATTCCAGTTACATAACAGGCTGGAAACCTGAAGCTCCTCCCAAGTGCACCCTTAGGCATATAGTGCCATACATTAAGAAGAACTGCTCCCCCATCACCTCACTTCAGAAAGTTCTACAAGAACTGGAGGGAGAGAGGGCAGAGGAAACTGAGCTCCTCCCTGGGACTGCAGGGCATAATCAGGCTTCAAAGAATTTAAGAAAGTAACATTTCTGACCCAAACCCAGGTGAAACAAGTTACAAAACAAGCAACTATTACACTGTATCTCACACACTTTAAAGTACTATCAACTTAAGTGTTTTCCAACATTCTTCCAATGAGAAATAAAAAGAGCTGTAAGAAAAAAAGTTTACTGTGAGAAGGAATCCCAATATCTAGCAATTGTGGGTATTTGTAGGACTCCACTGTATGTAACAACCCTAATATCCTGCAAGATCCATAAATGCTTTATAAATCAACAAAAAAATTGTGCAAGGAGTATGATTTAAGTCTGGAAATATCGACATTTAAACTACATGCAAATTCTTTCCAGAGACTCGGAAAAGCACCAAAAGGCAAAGGAGCTGCATAAACAGCATCTCCCCTCCCAGCCTCACCTGGGACAATTTTAACTCCTCCCCCCCAACACACACACCGCGTTTTGTTTCCTTTCATTTCTTGCCGTCTGTAGGTGCACTCAACTTAGAACTTCTAATCCCCTCTAGGTGGATGTAGAAATATTTAAAACAAAAATAACAGCTTTCGAAGAATAAGTATATACACAACAAAATTGTTTTTATTTTCTTTGAATGCTATTAGCCAGTTTTAAAAAACTGCAGCTGATGCTTTTTATGTTAATTTCAATACAAACTTAAAACATAACATACATCATCCTCCTAAATCACCTCTAAATCCACGGATTGTTAAACTGTATTACTACCAAAAACGTAGTATCTTTGAAAAGGACTTTCTCGAAAAGAAAAAAAAAGTTGATACTGCCTTCAATCTAATTTGAGTTCCTGGCAACACTAAATCATTCCGCAGTTTAACTTAAATGAAACTTCACGCTTCTCTGCGCCCCACTTTGACAAGGGGTCTCTAAATCGTGGGAGGGAGAGGATAAAAGAGAAAGTATTGACTTCCCTTTCCAGACTCAGGAGGAGAAAAGGCAAATATCGACAAGTCGGATTCAGCAGCCGGTTTTTGCACTGTTAGTTTTAGGATCTGGGCAAATCATTCCTTTGCAAAGGACTTTAAAACCAAAAGAAAAAACAAACTTTTAGTGCAGAATCGGGCCTTAGCCCTCAACATCCGTCCTCGAAATAAACCCGGAGCCCAGGCCGGGCCCGACCACGGGCGCCCGCGCACTCACCCCTGGATGCCCGGGCTGTACGCGCGGCTCTTCCACGGCGTGCCTGGCCGCGGCGCCTGGGCCCCGGGGCCGCCCCCTCCGCTCAGCGCGGCCGCGCGGCTGCCGGACAGCAGGTAGTTGAGGCCATACGTGCTGGCCTTGTTCTCGCGTTTCCGGCGGCCGGGGTGGAACTGGTGCTGCGGCGGGGAACCGGCGGGCGCCGGGCCGCGCGGCCCGGGGTGCCCGTTGGCCGCGCCGGGGGCGCTGGGCGCGCCGTCTGCGAAGCTGAAGAAGGCGCCGGCGCGGCCGCCGCCCGGCCGGCCCAGCGAGGCGCTGCTGGAGGACGACGACGAGCAGCCGGGGCTCTCGGTGCCCGACTCGGCGTTGGACGAGGACGACGAGGACGACGACAGCGACGGCGACTTGTGCAGGCGCCGCGCGCCCTCGGCCGCGGGCCCGAGCGCCGTCAGCAGCGCTGGGGGCGCGGCGGGGCCCGGGGCGGGCGG